CGCTCTAAAAATTCTTGTAAACCAACTTCTTTACACCTTGGATCAATTATTATAGCTAAACCTAATAGATGAGGCAAATGATGAAAATATTTATCAAATTTTTCTTTCATTGAAGTAATAATGGTTACATAAAGTTCATTACCCATATAATTTATGAAAACTTTAATTATTTTTGCTAGCATATGTAAAAAAAAATGGTGAAGTAAGAACATATATATAAGAAAATAATTTTTTTGAAGTATCGAAAATTTTTTAAAAAATCTTTATACAAGGCTACTTAGCGCCAATTAAGTTCAGTGGGTGTCAGTACTTCTCCTATTGATGTTGTTGCAAAAAATAAATTTATTGCTCTTCTTTGTTTACAAGCTATTTTTAACATATTATATGTTGAATTCCACCTACTATCTACATCTAAAATTAATTTTTTAAATGACATATTTTCTTATTGACAAATTTTTATATGTTCTGAAATTTGATTATCAGAAGACATAATAGTAACAACTGCATTTTTTATTACAAGTACAGAAGTTTCGTATACATGCATAGCTTCTTTAACAATCAAATTTAAAATATGGGCACAACAACGAACATGAAATAAATCACCATCAACAAGTAATTGTAAAGTTGATTTTAAATGGGCTACAATTTGATTATAATATGATGCATTATCTAAATTAATCGTAAATATTTTATTTTGTAAAGCCCACTCATATAATACATTTCTTATTTCTACACCAAGCAAATGACCAATGTATGAAAGTTCAATTAATTTAAATGAAATAATTCTTTTATTTAATTTCCAATCATTATCAATAAAATGTGCAGTGATACATTGATATTCAAAACCATAATTTGACCACAGATCAGATGTTAAACAAACTCTTCTATTCAAAATTTTAAAGATATCAAATAATTCACTTTTAATATCCTCAAATTTCTTTAAAATCCTATTTCTAGTAGTATTTCTTGAAAAACTTTGATATTGCGGTGCAAAATTTTTGTGAATCATTTCGGTAAAATCATGACATTCACTAGTACTAAAAGATTGTTCTTTTTTAATAATATAATCAACTACAGAATTTTGTGCACGTATAGGATCATATGAAAATGTTTGCAAATTATCAGTTGATGAAGCCCCTAATTGCATTTGATTTCGAATATCAGGTTGTTTACTTTGTAAATGTTTGTCATAATACCTTTTTAAATGACTAGAACCCCCTGCAGATGCAGCATTAAGTAAACGTGCACAATAGTTACATTTTGCTTTAAATGTAATTGTGCCATCAGGATTATTTACAGATATTTTTTCAAAATGTTCCCAAACACTACTACTTTTGCTCTTAGATAATGATGTAACTGTTGGAACAGGGATATTAGGAGGAGAATCAACATATTCATGTGGTGTACTATGTGTATCAACATCGAAATAAACATTAGGCATATTAGGATCCATAGTAATGCAAGTAAAACAATATATAAGAATTAACAATTAATTTAAATAATGTGTAAATTCAATCAGTAAAAAATAATAATTAATATATGTGCATAAATTTAATTAAACTAATTAATGTTACCGACTGGCGAATGCGATATAGAAATTTTTTTCTTCTGTTAAAAGTTTCTTGTTGCACAATTGTAATAGCCACTTAGGGATGACACTTCAAAATTAATTAAGAGTTGAGAGAGATTGAGAGAGTTGAAGAGAGAGAGAGAGAATGATTGGTTGTGAAATATATTTTGAAAACTAAAATATATTTGTACTAGTTTAAAATCTATCCGTTTGAATTGTTATGACCGTTTTATATATATTCGTTTGAGTTTGTAACGGGTCAAAATTGAGGCTAGGCTAGGAAATGATTGCCTCCTTCTCGGGCAACCATTTGGATGGTGCTCTTTGGCCAGTGGGAACCATCATGGGTCTCGTTTTGCTAATCGGAACCGTTCAATGTGTACAACTCGTCGACTATTATATGCTTGTAAAAAATCACGTTGATCGGATATCTATAACTATTTGATCGGATTAGTTTTTCTTGTAAACCATTAACTGTAACACCATGCATTTTTATACCAAATTGATTTGATCATGTAGTTAGCGATATCCGATTAACGTGATTTTTTACAAGCATATAGTAATGGAAGAGTTCTACACATTGAACGATTCGGATTATTAAAATGAAACTCGTGGTGAGCTCCCACAAGCCCAGTATTACCTTCCAACTTAGTGTATATATATATATATATATATATTTTTCTTTCACGTGAGCTTAGGACCTTAGGTGTACTTTCCTATATATATTATTAGGTGCACTTTCCCACTTTCTCAGCCACACACACAGACTGTGCTGCTGTGCACGTAGTGATATATCGTATCATCATTTTCCATTAAATAATTCATAATTTGATTTTAATTTAATAAATTATTATTAATTTTTGTTTTTTTTTAAAATTATTAATGTTATTTATTTAATTATATTAATTTTTATTTAATTTTTTTATTTTTTTATGTTTTTATTTTTATAAGATCAATCTTTTTATTTATTTTTTTATTTTATTTTTTTATTTTTATAAGATCAATCCCCCTGAGGTTTGAGAAATTACGAATTCCCCCCTGAATGCTATATTTGCATAAGAAATTAGGGGGTAATTTGTTATGAAATATAAACCTCAGGGGGTAAATTGTTATGAAAATACAAACCTCAGGGGGCGGGATGTAATTTCTGAAACCTCAAGGGTGTATCTGTAATTTAGCCAAACCTCGAGGGGTATTTTGTTTTTATAAGATTAATCTTTTTATTTTTTTATTTTTATAAGATCAATCTTTTTATTTTTTTATTTTTATAAGATCAATCTTTTTATTTATTTTTTTATAAGATCAATCTTTTTATTTTTTTATTTTTATAATATCAATTTTTTTAGAGAAATTTGGCTATAAACCTCCTTTACCTTTCTTTCATTGTTAAAAGGACTAAGAAAAAAATTATACTTTCTAAATCCCCTCATAATTATAAAATCTTGCATAAAGGACAAAATTTATTATTTAAATATTTTATTAGACTATTATACCTTCAACTAAATTTTCTCACCTTCTTCACCCACTCTCTCCACACCTTCTCTGTTTTTCTCCTCATTCTCTCCTTTCTCTAACTCCTTCAAGCTTCAGATCTGGAAGCTTCAGACCTCGCCAACGCCGCCGGCGTCCGATCCTCTTCTGCCGCTCCCTCTGGAATCGAGCTTTGATTCACCAGGTTAATGAGAATCACTAGTCGAAGATGCCTGACAATCTCGTCAAGAACGCTGCCTTAATTCGAGAGATCAACAGTAATATATCCAAAGTCATATCTCTCTACTCCGATCTTTCCGTTGATTTCTCCAACATCGTTCAGCAACGACGCGCAATCAACAATGACGACCATATGGAGAAGAGTGCTGGTGGAGTTGTTTGGTTACACATATTTTTTTAAACACAGATTTGAGTTTTGAATATATGTATATATATATATATATATATTTGTGTATGAGTGTTGTTGAACGCATGTATTCTTTTCATTGAGATTTGTGATTGTTGATCGAGTTTTAGAAGTTTTTCTTCTCAATTAAATATGTTGATTTGTTGATTAATTTGTTTTGTTTTTGTTTGTTTGTTTGTTTTTGATTTATTTTTGTTGTTTTTGATCTAATTTTATTTGACAGAACCAGAGTAAATTGCTCTGTTTTTTGTTTCAGATAATGAGAGTAAAATTTTACTCTTGTTCTATTACTCTGTTTTTTGTTTGAGTGAATTAGAGTAAAATTTTACTTTGGTGTTAAAATGACAGTAAAATTTTACTATCAAGAGGTGGTCATTGCCAAACACTTCAGCCGCTACAAATACTGCCTTCGCTTTTTTACTTTTGTGCAGAGTAACATTTTAATTTTAGCTTCAGAGTTTCACAGTTTACTCATTTTTTACTGTAAAATTTTACTTTTATACAGAGTAAAATTTTACTTTTGTGTAGAGTCTAACATTTTACTAGTTTTTCAGAGTAAAATTTTACTTTTATACAGAGTAAAATTTTACTTTTAGCTTTAGAGTCTCACAGTTTACTCGTTTTTCAAAGTAAAATTTTACTTTTATAGAGTCTAACATTTTACTAGTTTTTCAGAGTAAAATTTTATTTTTATACAGAGTAAAATTTTACTTTTAGTTTCAAAGTGTAACATTTTACTCTTATTCAGAGTAAAATTTTATTTTTATTCAAAGTAAAATTTTACTCTGAAATACATAATGAAGATGGCTTAATAGGAGAACTGATAGATATGAGGGTAAGATAGTAAAAGAAATAACTTTTAAAATATTAAAGGGGTTTTGAAAGTACTTATATAATTCTTGTCCTTTTGAAAGACAAATTAAATAGTGAGGAAGTTATCACCAAATCCCCTATTTATTTATTTATTTTAATTATTTAACTATTGTACTCCCTCCGTCCCAAAATAATAGTCTCTTTTGGGGAATTCAACTTTTTTTAGTAGTACAATTATTGCATTTGAAAAAAGTTGATTTTCCAAAATTATCCTTTTGATAGTACATTTTTTGGGAATATCAATGCATAATTGTACTTTTTATGTTGTTTATTAATTTAAAAGAAGGGTAAAATAGGAAATTTATATTATTTTTGTACTTGATTTTTGAAGAGGGACTAATATTTTGGGACAATGAAAAATGGAATAAGGGACTAATATTTTGAGACGGAGGGAGTAACTTATTTTTTATTTTTATTTTTTGAAATTTATCAGACCGGACCCTAAAATGGAAGGCCTAGGCCTAAGCTACTGGGCTAGGTTCGGACATGAGTTTAACTGAGTTGAAACAGGCCAAGTCCGCCACAAATTTCCAACAAGTTCAACCACCAACGGACCTCAGGCCATTTTTACGCTCCCAACCACACCCCACACCAATCACTATTCGTCACGTTATATTTCCTAATCACTCGATGCAAGCTCACTCCCTGCTCCAATCATAACACCATTGAGTCACCACAGCCAAGAGCAACCAATAACTTCTCCCAAACAAGGCTCACAAATGACAGTACTAGGAGTACTAGCGTTTGTTACTACTCCTCAGACGCTGACGCTCAGCTGCCGTCGCCAACCACCACGCACCAACCAACCAACCAATCCCTCTCTCTCTCTCTCTCTCTCTCTATATATATATATATATATTTGTGAGCAGGTCTGAGCATCACACACATACAGACAGAGAGAGAGAGAGCTAGTAATTACAAGCGTTTCTATTTCTATTTATATTTCTATGGCGAGAAAGAAGATCAGAGAGTACGATTCTAAGAGGCTGTTGAAGGAGCACTTGATCAGACTCGCTGGGATTCACCTTCATATTTCCTCTGCTCAGGTTTACTTACTTATTATTGTTATATTTGAATTCTAGCTCTGCTGATGCTAATTTCTTCTTGTTCCCAATTGCTGCTCTGTTCAAATCCAATTCTTTTCTTATCGATCCAATTGATTTTTTTATTTATTTTGTGAATTCTTTAACGATTGGTGGGGTTTTGTTTTGGATCATCCTCTGCCTGGCTCTCACATCATGTTGTTGTGTATTTCATTTCCCATAGGTATAAGTTTTATTAGGCGATGAATGCAAAAACTAGATATTTGTACTCAACACTTGGTTCTACCACTCCTTGTTCACTTCTTGTCATCGTAATTGTTCATCCCAATTTACTATTGAATTGAAAATCCCTAATCTGTCTCCTAGAGGATCTTATGGGACAATTCTCTACTAATCCATGGATGGGTTTCCATTTCCAGCTCTTCATGCCATACTGCTGGAAAGTAATTTGTTTCTTTCTTAGTTTTCACAATGGCTTTTAGATACCCCAATTGTGATGAGGAATTACGGTCTTAAGTTGCTTGCTTGCTTGTATCAACATCTTGTAGTACTAGTGATATTATATTATTATCCTAAATAAAAGGTCTTGGAAGAAGTGGGCAAAAAATGTGCAAGCAATGCAAAGGCTAGTTGCAACTTGCTGAATAAAATCCAATTCTATCTGTGAATTTGATTCAGCTTGGTTATAGAAAGATGAAGCTTTTAAATACAAGAGTAGATTGTGGAAGGAAAATTAAAATCAAAGCCTTTTTCAAGGTTGGTGCTGGAGAGCATGGTTCATTGATACCCTACTCACAACCCATTTACAATCACCCATAAGCAACATGTCCATCCTCTAGACTTATGCTGAATGTATTCCCTATTTGGCCATCTCGCCAAGGGTGGTCATGGTGTTTTCCCTTGAAGTATTAAAGTGCAAAAGGTGCGTTATTAGTGCTTATATTTCAGAAACATTCAAACACACCATTATTAATAGATTATAACACATATTAATAAAATTGTATTAAAAAACTACAAAAGCAGGACAAATGAAAACCTCCATATCAACCAACAAATATGGGCAAAAAGAGAAAGTCAACCACAATTTGAGTAAATCAGAATAGTATTAAAAAGGTTGGTATTTTTCTTTTCTGTATGCACAAGTGAATCATGATCTTTCCCAATTTCTGTTTTTGCTTGTATATCCTCCTGTGTGCATATCCATTTGTAGGTGTGCACACCTTTTCCAAGTGAAAGTTTTTTTAAGTTTTTTCTAAATTTTTTTTTTAATGTAATTATTTATTTATTTATTATTAGATTTAAAGAAATAGGGGTCAATATCTATCGCTGATTCAAAATTAAAATCTTTGATTTATTTCTATTGATAAGGTAACAGAGTTAACAGACTTCACTGAACTAACAAACGAAGAAACATGGTTATCATCCACAAGATTGGTGGTGAAGCCTGATATGTTGTTTGGGAAGCGCGGAAAAAGTGGCCTTGTGGCTCTGAATTTAGATATGGCTCAAGTTGCTGAATTCGTAAGGGGACGCCTTGGTGTGGAGGTAATGTCCAGATCAAATATTACTTAAAATTTGTCATTGAACTAATTTAACTGTGCTCTATTTACATAGCATTGAATCTTCTTTAGGTTGAGGTGGGTGGTTGCAAAGCACCTATTACTACATTTATAGTTGAACCATTTGTTCCTCATGACCAAGAATATTATCTTTCAATCGTCTCTGAAAGGCTTGGCTGTACTATAAGCTTTTCAGAGTGTGGAGGTATTGAAATTGAAGAGAACTGGGACAAGGTATTTCAAGGCATAAAATGTTACTTGCATATTGATCTACGATATTTGAATGTCTTCTGCAGTGGTGCATTTACTGTATTTTGAACTCTTGGTTCATATAGGTTAAGGCAATATTTCTCCCAACTGAAAAGCCTATGACAACTGAGGCAATTGCCCCATTGATTGCCACACTTCCCTTAGAGGTAAGTCCTGTTTCATTTACAATTTACCTACCGTGACAACTAGGATGGAATTCATTCTTTGCAGGATAACTATGTAAATTCTTAATTTAGAATGGGTAATGTCTTCTTTGGCCTCCGAATTTGTATCCTCTATGTTGTACGTGGGCCACAGATGCATGAGCAAAATTGCTAAAATAAATGAACACTTGAGGACCATAAGCAAAACTAGACTGTTTGAATGGGCATTTTCAACATACTGGTTAAAAATCATGTTATTGCAGGAGGTACATATTATATTATTGGCAATCTATGTGCAATTTAGGGCTCAAAGTTCTCGACTTTTGTAACTAATGAAAATAAATGGTCTAAAAATATTATATTTCAGCATTTTCTGTTTTCTACATGCTCTCTTGGAGTTCCTTTAACACTGCTTTGCAAAGTTGTGCTTACAAGTTACAATATATACTTTTACGTTGCAGGTACGGGGAAAAATTGGGGACTTTATAAAGGCTGTGTTTGCTGTGTTCCAGGGTATGTTTCAGGAGGAAAAACCATTCACCAATTCATAGTACAGATATTTGCTTCAATCCCATCTTTGGATGCTATAGATAGTACCTTGAATTATCAGAGTGTACATCCTTGTTTAGCTAGTTGTTTAGTCAAATATTTAGTGAAATAAGTTTGCGCCGCTCCACAGATCTGGACTTCAGTTTCCTGGAGATGAACCCGTTCACACTGGTTAATGATGAGCCATATCCATTAGATATGAGAGGGGAGTTGGACGACACTGCTGCTTTCAAGAACTTTCAGAAGTATACTTCTGTTGAGAATTTGACGAACAAATATCAGTTCTGCTTGTTTTCTGTTGCATTTTAATGTTTTGTGTTAACTTCTGCAGGTGGGGTAATGTAGAATTTCCGCTGCCTTTTGGCAGGGTTCTGAGCCCTACAGAGACATTCATTCACTCATTGGATGAAAAGGTAGGTGTAAAAGATATTACACTTTGCATTCATGTTGTCTATTGTTCTATGAAAGTCCCCTTAGTGTGCGTTCATTTATTGCTTATGGCATTCCAAATGACTGTTATGCAGATGGTCTCTAGTTGGGTTATAACTAGTATGCATTATATATCACTGTCAACTAGATGTCAGAAAAGGCAAGGAAATTTTGAAACCTATGATTTCCTACCGATCCCAGGTTAGGAAGTTCTGGACTTCGATTTCTTCTGACCATCATCTCAGTGACCAACTTGAGCAACAAGATACCATTTAGTTATGCATGTATTCAAGTACATAGATCTCATTTGTCATGTAGAGCTGTGGAAGGCCGTGGAATCAGCAGATATAAAAAATCTATTGTTTCTAACACTCTTTAAGTGCTCCGTTGTGAACGATTTTGGTCTTGGAACTGGTTGATGGGATTTACGCTTGATTTAGCTTGTGTGGATGCATTTGAGAGCCAAACTTTAGGGATACAGCAACCAAGCCATGATCAAATGGAAATTCCTTGATATCACATTCAAATTATTATGCTTGATTTAGTTTGTGTGGATGCATTCGAGAGACAAACTTTGGGGATACAGCAACCAAAGCCATGATCTAAGAAGCATGGACACGGACACGTGACACGACACGAGTACGACACGGACACGCTGACACGTTAATTTTCAAAAAATGTAGGACACGACACGTGAGGGACACGCATGAAATATGTAATTTTATATATTTATTATATGTTATATATATGAATATATCATTAAAAAGATAATAAAAAATACAATATGATACTAATTCCTATAAATTTATATAGTTTTTGTTTTATTATTGTATCTTAAGTTGTTTTGTTCAAACTTATAATTAATTTCACATATGTCTAATCGTTAGACACTTGTATTTAAGCGATGGACACGTATGTCCTTCAAGTGTCCAAAGAGTGTTCAAGTCTTTAAAAAAATTTAAAAAATAGGACACGTTTTGAAGAGTGTCGGACACGTGTCCTGAGAGTGTCCAAAGAGTATCGGTGTCCGACACGGATACGACACGAATACGTTACCTTCTTAGAAGTGTCCGTGCTTCTTAGGCCATGATCAAATGGAAATTCCTTGACATCACATTCAAATTATACCCAGTTTAGTCCCCATTCCTTGATATCACATTCAAGACCCTAAAATTGTCCAACACCAAGCAGCCTCAATAGTATTCTAATCTGTGTGGTCCTGTTAGAGGTTAATGGAATTCAAAAATTAAAGAGGAAGACTTTCTCTAACTTGAAGCATCTAATATCCGCTAGACGGAAATGGTTGAGTATACAGTCAATTTTTACCCTGTTTGAGAAGAATTATATTTCTGCTCAGTCATTTGTGCATTGTCTTACTGTTTTATGTGATAGAGTGTTAGTTTTAAAGGCTTAAATTGCATCCATGGCAGCAACTAATTAGTTGGGATCTGTTGACAATGTTGCAGACAAGTGCTTCCTTAAAATTCACTGTTTTGAACCCCAAAGGACGCATCTGGACCATGGTAGCTGGTGGAGGTGCAAGTGTTATTTATGCTGATACTGTGAGTTTCTTAATAGACCATTCACGTGATTCATAGCTTACAATTCAGCTGGACTATTTTGTTGCTTGTTTACTTTTTATCCCATCTGTTTATCGTAAATGAGCGTATGTGGCGCTTATTTTCCCATAATCCCATTGTCCCTCTTAGTTTCTTGGATGCCTTGTATATGGGTTTCTTTTTCTCATTTAGGTTGGAGACTTGGGTTATGCATCAGAACTTGGGAATTATGCAGAGTATAGTGGTGCTCCTAATGAGGAAGAGGTGTTGCAATATGCTAGGGTTGTCATTGATGTAAGAGCTTGTCAATATTTCTTGCATTTGAGGCTTTTCTTTTCATTTCTTGATGTAATTTACATATCCACCATTACCGGTAGCATCTAACATTCCCTTGATTTTGCAGTGCGCCACTGCAAATCCTGATGGTCGTAAAAGGGTTCTTCTCATAGGAGGTGGCATAGCTAATTTCACTGATGTTGCTGTTACTTTTGATGGAATTATTAGAGCACTAAGGGAGAAGGTAGAGACATTTTGCTTCTTTTATAAAAGCAACTTGATAATCTAATTTCACTTTTATATGCTCACATATACCTCTTCTGTGACTTTAGGAATCCAAGCTAAAAGCAGCAAGAATGCATATTTATGTGAGAAGGGGTGGTCCAAACTATCAGACTGGTTTGGCAAAGATGCGTGCCCTGGGTGAGGAACTAGGGGTTCCTCTAGAGGTATGAGATAAAATCTCGGCTATATCTTTATCACATATTACAAACAGCTCTAATCAGTCGTACTCAAAAATCATATTTAACCGATTTGAATATTTCAACAACAAAAAAAGAAAACTAAGGCCTCGTTTGGGAACAGGCTAATTTAGTAACTTTTTGGCTATTTGGCTAAAAAGGTAAGTAAAAAAAACTTGTATGTTTGGGATGACTTTTTGGCTAATTACGAAAAGATGTGCAAAAAGTAGAGAGAAAAGAGAATCTTTGACTTTTTGGTATGGGTTGTTGGCTTTTTGGCTAATTTAGTAACTTTTTGGCTAATTGGCTAAAATAGCCTCTTGCCAAACGAGGCCTAAATAGAGTATAGTGTTTGGGCTGCATGTCACAACATTTCAACTTCAAGTTTGATATTGCAGTCTGTCTGGCAGCCTTCGCTTCTTGATCAATTGATTATTTTTAAACTTCTGTTTTACTATTTAAATTTTGACCGTGAGAAAACTCTAATGCAGGTTTTTGGGCCTGAGGCAACAATGACTGGAATATGCAAGCAAGCAATTGAGTGCATCATGTCTGAGGCATAAGATCCCATCTTAATTTGAATTTTTGTATGTGTGCAAGAGTCTTTTTAACATGTTTGTGAAGAGAGTGAGTTATTTATCGAAGTTTCGTAATGGGAGACTGGGATTGGATTGTTTTAATGTATAATGTATAAGTTCTGAAAACAGTTACTGCTGCAAACCTGCTTGCCTTGTATTTCATCAACTTATATATATTAGCGACCTTGAAAGGTCTGGGTTAATTTTCCTGTCCGGCTAGCTTTCCCATTCTTCTCTGTTTTATATATTATAGATTTCTCTATACAAACTATTTGACATATGACATATTTCTTTGATATTCTAAGATAAGAAGCATGAATAAGCGCATGCTCTATTTCAATTTCTTTTGGCATATTTTGTCGCCTATTGAGGAAGAAATGTGTCAATGAAGATAAAAGGCGTGTCTGTTGTCAGTTGATGTGTTCACAGACGGAAAAAAAATGAAGAGCTTCTAGCATGAGCAATTTTTCTTTGTCCTTTTTTTTCTTTTTAATTTATAATTTTGAGAAGTTGGTGTTAGGACTGCAATTCATTCGGTTTGGCTGAGAGTCTTTCCAAACTCAATTTGAAGTGAGAGAAATTCATCTGAGTCCCGTATTTAGATGATGATAATAAAATTTCTGTTACAAGTGTTCCCTTCCTAAACCCTTACAAAGTCTTTACCAAAACTTCCTCCTCTTTCACTAAAATCATTCGTCAAGCCTTCTCGGGCCTCATGCCTATTCAAACTCGGCTTGAAGTGTAGCCCGATTCCAAGTTTACCTCACACAGAAGTTTACCTTTCAGAGTCGTAGTCAGACACACAAAAGCAGATATCATTGTTGTGTGGGTTTGATTTGATAAGATGAAGCAATTGAACCGTCAAGAAACAGATGTGCTCTGTCAGGAGGGAAGGTTTTGCTAATTTTCAATTCAAGAATTAACATCTGCAAAACCAACAAGCTGGAAATGGATTCTTGTTTGTCATCTGACAATGGGAAGTCCTATTGAAAAGCCAAGGATAAACCCCTTGAAAGTGTTTTGGAATTTAAGGTTTTCCGTGGAAGTCTTCTGGAATTTAAGGTTTCCTTAGTCCTTATAAATGCAAAACTCCATTGGTTCATTGTTTTTATATCTGTATCTACACAATTCAGTGGTGAATATTTATATATTTCTTGCCATGTCAGATCTTATCTTTGATGACCAAGATGGTATGACCCCTCTCTCTCTCCATCTCTCTCCAATTGGAAAAATTGTGTGCACGTAACGGTGCAAAGAAATATCAATGTGTGATCTGGAATCATTTTAGATGTGATTCCCATCACACTCATAATGAATTTAGACTAGACCTTATTTTTCTATGCACTTTTTATTATTATTATTATTATTATTATTATTATTATTTTGTGTTTGCATGCAAAAAAACCCTGTCCAAACATTGATTTTCCCCATCGGAAAAGTTTTATTGATTTTTCTGCTCAACCTCTTACGAGCCAACAAACGGGGCTATTGAACCGGGGTTTAACATCTAGGCCCAGGTCCATCCCGACCCTTATTCAGGCTAGCCGTCTAAAGTATGCGCTTAGACCAAGTAAAAACCCACTGGGCCTAGGTCAAGCCAAGGTTTGGGTTCTTTGACTTTCGTGGGATTCAAATCTACAACCTCTTGGGTGGTAAGCCCTTTGGTTGCCTTCTTTTCCCACTAAGCCAAATCCCTTAGGCTGTGTTTGGTTCAAGGATTTGGGGAGAGATTTGGAAAGAAAAAGGGAAAAGGTGCGTGAAACTAGATGAAATATAAGTATATTTTTTCATATTTCACCTACATTTTACCTTTCCCCTTTCCAAATCCCTCTCCAAATCCTTGAAGCGAACACAGTCTTAGAGTTAGCACTTGCTGAACTTCTAACCACTGCTCCAATGTAAAACTACGTTGTGAACTAATTGAACAGCTGACAAAACGACTACAGACCTCACAAATTGATGGAACACCCACACTTAATATTTAGCTGTTTATAATGATTTTAGCTTAGTTTTATATCTTACCATCACGATTATTCATGTTGTCACCATCATCATCGTCATTTTTGTTATTGCAGTGGTTTCAAGATCAACTTCAGATGCACCACCTGCTCACTACACGATTAAAATCCAATTATTTTCATTGCTAACAACCAATAACATAGAAAGATACGACTCCGGTGATTTCGAAGCTGGAGGCTACAAATGGTTACATTTCTTCATCTCCTAAAAATGTTACGCCTTTTGTTTTGGTGAACATAAATTTTATTGGTTTGTTTGCAGGAAATTGGCTCTCTACCCAAGTGGAAACAAGAGCATGGGTTTCAAAGATCACCTCTCTCTTTACTTGGTGATGGCAGAAGGAAGTCCAGTGCATCCCGGTTGGGAGGTCCAAGCTGTTTTCCGATTGTTTGTGCTTAATCAAAACAAGGACACCTGCTTAGTACTTGAAGGTATCTTGCCAAATTTAGCACTATATTTTGCAATTTTTTTCTTATTCCTGTTTACAAGTCAATGTTGGCTCTGAAAAGAATTCTCAATTCTAATATAACATTGACTGAGTTCAAATTAACATCATGGTTTGATGTGCGCTGCTTACTAATCAAGTCATTAATTATGTTTTCTTATATACACCGGGGAAGGGAAAACGTTTTCATAGAATGAAGCTGGAATGGGGATTCGATCAATTCATCCCTCTTAAAACATTCAACAATCCCTCCAATGGATATCTTGTAAACGACACCTGTGTCTTTGGGGCAGAGGTCTTTGTGTGCAAGGAACAAAATACAGGGAAAGGGGAGTGTTTGTCGATGGTGAAGGATGCAATTACTTACAAGAACACTTGGAAGATTGATAATTTCTCAAGGTTGGATAAGGAGTGTTATGACTCAAAGGCATTCAGTGCTGGAGATCTCCAATGGTAAACTCAAATATGCTTTTTGATGTCACTTATATCTTGTTCAAGAGGTTTTTGGTTGAGTTATGTACTCACTGTGTCGTGTGAATGTGTTTATTCAGATCAAACATCTTCCAAAATGTTATTAAAAAGAAAAAGAAGAAGAAAGAGAACACTAATCCTACATATTCAGAAAAATACCCATAATGTAGTGTAGCAGCACTACATTCATCCTGTTGTGAAGTGCATGTTCCATCCAAAATGAATGCAGTACTGTGCACATCATGCTGAACATTTTTATGAGATCTTTTGTAGTATCGTTTTTAAAAAATGAAATGTAATATATTTCACTTGCTTCCTCCATACCTGTGCAAGTTTAAAGTAATGATCAGCTCGTCATAAAATTTACTAACACGGCCACTGTGTTCACGATGAAAAGCTATGCATCATCATACATTAGAGTCCCGTTGGATTTGATTACAATCAATAGAAACAAAACAATGATTACTCTGTGACTTGTTTGTTTGTTGGTTGGTGCAGGAAGATACAGCTATATCCCAAGGGAAAAGGCAGTGGAATGGGTACCCATTTATCTCTGTATCTAACTTTGGCTGAACCTTCAACTCTTCCTCTTGGTTCTAAAATATTTGCAGATGTTGCACTGCGCATACTGGACCAGATGAAAGCCAAGCATCACTCTGGTAAAGGTAAACATTAGTTAATGAGGTGGGAGAACTTATCCCGAGAAGGATATATTAGTCATTTTGCAACGAAAATCTTATTTCAGGAATTGTTTGCACATTAGTTTTAAGGTCACAATCAAATATAAGATTCTTTTTTTTTAATGTTTAGCGTAAAAAAACATTTTTCACTAAAACAAATGGAGTATTGTGCTCATTCATCATGAGGCACTATATGGCTGGGTCAAGTGTTTTTTGTAAATCTGGCAAACATGGTTTATTCACAGCTGTGTGTGCGCTTCTCTAATGAGCTCAAATATTTTTTATCTGGTATGATTGCAGCAAATTACTGGTTCAGCTTAACAAGACAGGAGTGTAGAGGGGACAGGTTTATTACACTGGGTCATTTCAATCAGCCAAACACTGGTTTTTTGGTGAAGGACAGTTGCTGGGTTGAAGCAGAGATCACTGTCCACGGGATGGCTAATCTAATGTAAACAAGGGCTTTGCCATACTCAGTTTGGGGGTGTAAATTTAAACATAGAATCAACTGTGTCCATTCTTAACCGGAAGAATTTGTATGATCCTGTTTCACCAAAAATTCTACTTGTAAGATAAAGAAAAACAAAAACGTTCTATTTATCTAAGCTTCTTAACTCCACCAGCTCAATTGGTCCGCAATGTAATATATTTCTTGAATTAATATTCAGTAATGCTACATGCATAGAAAATTAATATATGGCTCAAATTTATAGTGAGTGTGCACATAATCGCTATAATAATATAGTTCCATTTTTCCTTATTATGGCTTGAAATGGACTGAAGAGTGGGGGAGGGGGCTGGCAGTGCAACCGCCACCCCAAAGTTTATGAGAAAACTTTATAATGCTGTGTTTGGTTAAATGATTTGGGAAGAAATTTGGGAAAAGAAAGGAAAAAGGTAAATGAAATGTGAATACATTTTTCCTTTCTAAATTCCCCAACCAAATACAGATTATGAATAAACCATGTTTGCTAAGATATTTTCTTAGTTGTAGTATGAAACTCATGATTACTCATGTAAAGAAAATCAATTTAGGGTTTTTTTTTAATATAAAAAAATACTAGTGAAACAATCAGTTATAATTTAGATCTGTGCCGTTTTGGGAACCAAAATAAAAAGTCACGTTTTTGTCAAAATGTCCAAAAACGCAAGTGGCAAAAATGCAACAAAATTTGTTTGGGAAGTTATAAAAACGCAAGTGTGAAATTACAAATTGGGGCCTACGACAAAAAAATAAAAAAATAAATTTCTTATGTTGGGTAAGGGTATTTTGGTCATTTTAATTTGATTTGACACCATAAACAAATATTAAACTAAAAAGCCAAAAACCAGCTTTTTACCAACTTGCCAAATCACTTTTCAAAAAGCTAAAAAGCTTGGTAAAAAGCCAAAAGCCAGCTTTTTACCAATTTCCAAAAAATTTCAAGTTTCAATTTTCACTCTTCCACTCCAGTTATGTTTCTCTCTCTCTCTCTCTCTCTCTCTCTCTCTCGCTTTCTCTCTCTTATTTTTCTTGATTTTGTTTGTTTCTCCCTCTTATCTTCTTGTTCGTTTGTTTTAATATTTCAATTTTCTTTGTTGTTTGGATTTTTTCTTCAAATTGATCTCCATTTTTTATTTCATTTTTTTTCCATATTATCTCAATATTTCTTCTTTTAGTTCTGTGGGGATATATTTTATGAGTACCAAACACGTGGCTAAGGTGACGCCGACATGTCGGCTGAGGTGTCACGTGTCCTGGTTGTAATGCCGAGGTGATCTCGGCTAGGCCGAGATTATCTCCGAAGATATCAGAATCCGGGATAAGCAGATAAGGGACAAGTCCTAGAATGAGGAAGGATTTCAGCCTGGATAAGGATAAAACTCTTAGGGAGTTTATCTTTATCTATTGAAGAGTCCAAAATAAGCACTGAGCTGAAGTCCATTGAAGCTAGGCTTCTACTAGGATTGAGTTTGTGTTGACTATAAAAGAGAGGCACCCCCATGGGTCTACGGTACGTAATTTATATTCTGAACAGTGAGTTAAGCACTTGATCTATCTTTGAGAGATAACTGACTTGATCGTCGGAGTGCCCCCGAATGGACGAACCACCGCCGAAATTTCTTCTTTCTGTTGCAGGTCAATTAGGAGCCATCTATTCTGCCAGTGCTCTCCAACTGAATACTGAGTTTGGCAGTGTGGTCAGAAATTCACTCACACAATTTGGCGCTGTCTGTGGGAAAGAAAGGAGAGTAGATGGCCAATGACGGATAGAAGGAAAAGGTTGGGAACGAAATCCTTGCTGGGAACGGTAAACACGTTGACCCTAACATGGAGGAAGATTGTTGCAATGAGGAGACTCAAGATCAAAATCACGATAAAGAAGACGTCGGCCAGGAGGGCGACGTACCAAAAAAATCGGACCGAAGCGGGTATTACAATGAGAACGACCTCCAGGTATGGAAAGATAGATGCCTGCGAAGGGATGAAGAGGTAAAAGAGATGGCAAACAAATTGGCTGACCTGCAATCGGTCGTCAATTTTATGATGCAAAACAACGTCATGCAGTCATCGTTCCCGCTGCAGGACATGCCGATTCCAGCGGCCAATGCCAAGAAGGGAGGGCAGAAAGCAATCCCTATAGCCCCCCAACATACCAGGAGTGAAAGACACTCTCACCGGCCTTCAAGGGAGGTCGGGCGAGGAGAGTCGTGGAGGGAAGAATCTCGAAGGACACATCGCACCAAGGAGGCAGACCCCAAAGAACATCGGCATGTTCAAAGGCAGGTGTTGTGCTTCGACACAACTAATGGACAAAGGTCGAAGAGGGCTCACAACGAAGCTGAAAGTAGTGCACCAAAAAGATTGAAATCAGGAGATAGCCGAGCTCCTGGGCAGACAAAAGAGGACTTGAGAGATTACTTCAAGAGGAAGCAACAAGATGCCGAGGTAATTTCCCCTGTTAAGCCAAGAACACCATTCTCGGTAGAGTTGGACAAATTTGAGGCCCCAAAAAGATTCAGTATACCGAGGTTCTAGATATACGACGGAAAGTCAGATCCCAATTTTCACGTCGGATTATACCTGAACTCGATGGCACTATACACTGGGAATGAGCTGTTGCTCTGCAAGGTGTTCCCCTCATCCTTCGGGGAGATTGCATCATTTTGGTTTCACAAACTACCAAAGAGAAGTGTGAAGACCTAGGAAGGCCTGGCCGAGATGTTTGTGGCCAGGTTCGTGACAAACAAACTACAGCCATTAAGGGTAGATGCCTTAATGGCTCTGAGAATCAGTAAGGATGAAGGCCTTAGGACCTACGCTAAAAGGTACTATGAAGTGTTCAACCGAATACCCGAGTGCAATTAAGAGGTGGCGGTCGTATCTTTCAAGAACAGCCTAAAAGATGACTGTCCGCTACGAAAGTCTTTGGCAAAGACATTGCCAAAAAGCATGGAAGAGCTCATGGCCAGAATTGAGAAGTATGACAGAGTCGAGGAAGACACGTCAGGAACTAAAGAGACAACGTAAAAGAAAGGAAATGGCTCGCCGAAGCGAGGCCGAGGTAACAACGGATCCAACAAGCAAGAGATAGGACCGAGGGCTGCACAGGCAGTCACAACTGTGTTCCGAATCCCAATTCACAAAGTCCTGGATAAAATCCGATCCCAGCCCTATTTCAGAGCACCAGCTAGGGTGCTCGGAGAATTTATGGGAAGAAGCCTTGGTAAGCATTGTGCTTACCATAATGAGGATGGGCACCTAACTCAAGGTTGTAGAGCCCTGAAGTCATACCTAAAAGACCTGGTAAGGTAAGGCCACTTGAGGTTATAGATGAGGCTAGGACAAAGGAAGAGCAGACAAGATTGCCTCAAGCACCAGCAGCTCCACCCCCTCCAGCACAACAACCGCAGGCAGGAGGACCTCGGGTAATCAATGTAATTCACTCGAAGGTCAACGAAAACGAAATACAGGAGGAGACCCAGAAGGTAAAACACTTGTAGCACGTGTACCAGGTTGGGGAGAAATGACATCGGCCCGAGGAGTGCTAGGGACCAGTAGTGTCCTTTACTGAAGCCGACCTTGAGATGGTACAACATCCACATAACGATGCCTTGGTAGTATCCCTCCAGGTTGGGAAGTGCCAAGTGAAGCGCATCCTGATTGACCAAGGTAGCTCTTGTGACATCATGTATGTCAGGTGTTACAAGGAGCTTGGCCTTTACTCAAACGATATGGAGCAATCCAATGGCCCAATGGTCGGGTTCAATGGAACGCCGACATAGCCACTAGGAGCAGCAAGCTTGGAGGTGCAGGCTGGCACCATGAAGATAAAGACAGAGTTCACCATAATCGACACACCCTCCCCTTACAATGCTATCCTGGGAAGGCCATGGTTGCATGCAATGAGGGCTGTTCCCTCAACATTGTATTAACTATTGTGATTCCCAACAGAGCATGGGATAGAGGAGGTCAAAGGAGATCAACTGCAGGCAAAGAACTGCTCCATGGCAGCAATGAAATCCACTTGCAGCATACGAGAACCAGAGAGGGCAGAGATCGAAGACGAGGACGTGGAGGTCCTAGAGGACGTCGGCAAGGAGCCAGTCGAGAAGAGTGAAGAAGCACTGAAGAAAATCCTCGTCCAGTAGGGGGATGAAGAATGCTTCTTCCTCTCGGCTCAGGCTTAGCCGAAGAAGAGGAAAAAGAGTTTGAGGCTTTCTTGAGAGCAAACATTGAGGTGTTTTCCTGGACGCCTTACGAAATGCCTAACATTAACCCCGAGGTCACTTGCCACAAACTGAACGTAGATAGGTCGGCCAAACCTGTAATCCAACGAGCAAGAAGACCGACATTGATGCACGTTGAAGCAGTAGAAGAGGAAGTAGACAAACTTCTGGAAGCTAGAGCCATTGGAGAGGTAAATTACCCGACATGGCTATCTAATACAGTGGTGGTAAAGAAAAAGAATAGTAAATGGAGGGTCTGTGTGGACTTTACCAGCCTAAACAAGGCCTGTCCCAAAGATAGTTTTCCTTTACCCAAGATCGACCAATTGGTGGATGCCACTTCAGGACATGGAAGGATGAGCTTCCTGGATGCCTATAGGGGATACCATCAGATAGTCATGTACCTCCCAGATGAAGAGAAGACTGTGTTTATCACCCCAAAAGGGCTGTATTGCTACAGAGCGATGCCTTTTGGGTTGAAAAACGCAGGGGCAACTTACCAAAGATTGGTAACCAAGATGTTCAGACACCTGATTGGCCGAATAGTGGAAGTTTACATCGACGATATGGTCGTGAAGACCAAGGAACTTGCAAGTCATCTAGCCGACCTAAAAGCAGTCTTTGACATCCTTAAAACATATCGGCTCCGACTCAATGCATCGAAGTGTGCATTTGGAGTAGGATCTGGTAAGTTCCTGGGGTACTTGGTGACCAGAAGGGACATTGAGGCTAGCCCAAATCAGATCAAGGCCATCCTAGAGTTGAAGAGCCCGACGTTGGCAAAACAGGTACAAATGCTGACCGGAAGGGCTACAGCCCTGAACAGGTTCATAAGTAGAAGCTCAGACAAGTGCAAACCTTTCTTCAACCTAGTGAAGAAAGCCACATACTTCTTATGGACCGAGGAGTGCGAAGCTGCCTTAGTCGACTTAAAGAAGTATTTAACCACGGCTCCAGTTCTCTCAAATCCAGCACCTAGAGAGGAGCTGTTCCTGTACTT